TCTTTTGTTTTTTTCCTTTTTTCTTGTTTAGTCTTTAATGGAAATCTTTTTTATTTCTTAGCTGCTATACTGTTTATCTTCTCTCACTCTTGTACTAATTTGTATCTTAAAAGCCAAACTGATTTGTAAATTCTCTTTATTCACATTTTTCACAAGCTTACACTAAAGATTTTGGTCTATTTACTGGAGTCAAAAAATAGTTGTAACTTCTCATAATCTTTTTTAGTGATAAGGCCTCTAATTCATCTTTCTCTTCTTTGTAGCTCTTTATTTGTATTTTCTTTTTTCTAGCATCGTTGGACTTTTTTCTTCTTTTTGTTTTTGTTATCTATATTTTCTGTTTTTTTTAGTAACAATTTAACTTCTTGCTTTTCTATACTTTGCAATAATTCTAGCAATACTTTGCAGCTAACTAAATGCTTTACATCTTTAGTTTTCTTTTTATATATAACACATCTGTTGGTTTTGTATATAGTGGGTCTTCTTTGATGAAGTTTTTCTAATACTGGTAATATGTTGTTTATACACTTTAGTTCAAAGAGCTGCATAGTATTTGACTCAAAGATGTGATTGCTTTGTTTAATTTCATTTGCAAGCAATTTATAGAAAATTGTCTAGCACTAGAGATTTTTTTTCTTCTAGTGTGTTACATTTTGAGAGCTATATGTGAAAGTCCATTCTGCTCTATTTATTACTCTTTTTGGCATCTTGTGAATGATCAAATTAGCTTTTCAACTAACTTATTCTCTCATTTAAATTCTTTTGTAACTAATACTAGTAGATCTATAGTTTCTATATATATTGTATTTTCTTTAGCTTTGAGATCCACACCAAATTATTGTAGAAATCTCCTGAATATTTTTTAATTTTTGTAAAGTGAAAGTTTAGCTGCTTTGTTTGAATAACTTCTGTTATTGTTGTGACAAAATCAATATTTTTGATTTTAAGCCATTGTCTTGCTTTATATATTTCTAGCTCTTTCTTTATTACTAGAATTGCTGCATTGCTGTTAGTTTTTATTTCTATCTCTTTCTCTTTTGGTATTGTTAGCAGTGCAATGAGAATTGCTGCTAACTCTGCTCTGGTCAAAGAGAACTACTTTTCAGTTGCATGCACTATTTGCTATATAATTTAACTATTCTCTACAACTTGAACTATTCTACAACCCATTTTTATACTTAGATTATTTTTAACAATACTAAGTAAGCTGTCTATATAAAAAACTAAACTATCTAGTATTCTATTTTGATCTAAACTCTCTAATAAATTTTTTTTAACTACCTTCTTTTTTTTTTTTTAATTATTAATATAATATCATAGTAGAAACTTTATTACAATAAATCTATATTAATCTAGAGATTAATGGTCCTCTTGTTACTAAAAAGACTTGGGTAAGGAGCAGGGACATGTAAAAATTTCACAAAGATTAGATCACAATTAATTACAATTTTTATTGGATATCGCATTATAAAACAATTTTTACCTTTACTGATACATGTGACAACAATTGGCCAATTAAAATATAGTATAAATATGATTCATCAGAATTTTTTTTTTAACAATTGGCAAGAGATAATCATAATCTCAAAATACTAAAATATTTCAAGCACATTTGGTTGCTTTGAGATATAGGTCTTTTTATTTCCGTAACGAATTAGCAAACACTAGTAGGTATGTATTAAAAAAGTTTTAATTTTTAAAAATTGCTTATAATTCTCAATACTTATAACTAATATTTTTTTAGCCATATTTTTTTTTTTATTTATATAAATGCCACATCAAGTTTCTGCTATTACCCATGCTAATGAGTTTCATGAACATTTTGTTGCTAATAATAGTGTTTTGATGTGTCAGTTTTGTAACTTGTCTGTCAACTATGAAATAAGATCAACTATTATGACTCATATTAATAGTAAGAAGCATATTACAAACAAAGCCGTGAAAAAACAACGTGAAGTAAAGTCAAGGCAATTAATAATGAATATGTCAATAAGTTCTGCACAAAAAAAAAAAAATATAATTTTGGATTTGGTTGAGGCATTTATAAATGCCAATATTCCTTTAGAAAAGATTGACAAGCTACATCCTTGGCTTAAAGACAATCTTCATAATGGTGGTTCTATTTCTTTGGCTGATACTTTAAGACAGAATTATTTGAAACCAGTATTTGAAAAACATATTACAGAAATAAAATCTGAATTTTTTGGCAAACTTGTTATGATTATTGCTAATGAAACTACAGACGATTATGCTAGAAGTGTAGTTAATATTTTATTTAATTATCAAAATATAACCAAATTAGTTGTAGTGGATTATCTTAATGAAGTTAATAATGTAATGGTTGGGCAAATTATTCTTAAAAGCTTAATTGAATGGTCTATTCTATTTAATGCGTCTTGACTTTTTGTTTCTGATTTGGCTTCATATATGAAAAAAAGTTTCAGAATATTTTAAAGCCTGTAATGCCACAAATTATTCATATGCTATATATAGTACATATTTTAAACCTTATAGGATATATTTATTATTTTAATCTTTGCATTAATGTATTAAATATATTTTAAATTTTAATAAAATTATTTTTAGAGATGCATGGATCTCAATTGCACAATTTGACTTGGTTAAAAGTTTACTTGCTAAAATCTAGCAATCTGTTTCCAGATGTAAAAGTCGAAGAAACAGATATTTTTTATATTTATATTGTCATGGTGTTAAAGATCCACAAAAGATTCCTCTTTATAATAAAACAAGGTGGTGTTCATGGTTCCGTATGGCACTTTATGTTATGGAGAATCTTGATCATTTACGAGAATTTTATCATGAAGAAGAAAATAAAAATTCATCTCTAGCAGTTGAAAAAATAGTTGAAATTTTTAATAATTCGCAACACAATTTTTTAGTGAAAGTTTATCTTAGTTTTTATTGTTTTAAATAATTATTCACCAGATTCATTTATTTCAATTTTTCAAAATACATTTAACATGGCTTATAAAAAATATGACAATCATCTTTCTAACCACCCAGCATGATCTTTATTTAAAGCCTCCCAAATTTTTAATCCAAATTTTATTCATCTTACTATTGCTAATCATGATATTTATGCTTATCATCATATAATTCATGAATTAGATAATTCTTCTTCTATAATATATGAATGGTCAATTTATTGTAATTTAAACTTAGCAACTATTGAATATGATAATTTAACTGAATTTTGGGAAAAAATATCTGAGCAATTACCAGAATTAAGTAAAATTGCTCAAGAATATATTTGGCTCCCGATTTCTTTTTGTGGGGTTGAACGAAGTTTTTCTAATTATAATAATATTTTAGCAGAAAATAGGCAAAATCTTAGTTTAGATTCTTTATAAATGCTAAATATAATGTATTTTAATCAAAATTGTAACTAAATTTTATATCGCAATAAAAAACATTTTTTGCTATAGCCCAAAACATTTTTTGCAATTATACAAACCAATTTTTACGGGTCCCTGCCCTAGCCCTAACGTCCAGGAACGTAGTACAACGGTACCACAAAAACATTAATCAATAAACCTCCCCCCTAACGTAACTAACACTAACACTAGCACTAACCCCTATCCTTATCAACCAATGATTCATAAAATGCAAAATTTCTCGGTAGATGATAACAATGTTGCAATAGCAATAAAGACTCGTGCACATACCCACTCTTCTTGATTACTATACATATTCACTGTATTTTTGCCTGAATTATCGATAACGTACGTACGTACTTACGTACCAGGGAACGTAGTACAACGGCCCCAAAAAAACATTAATCAATAAACCTCCCCCTAATACTAACGCTAACACTAACACCCCTAACCTTAACATCCAGATTGGGTAATAATCACGAGGGGATTTTTTTTGGTACATAATGATCGTCACTATGCCCAATGTAATATATCTCCTTATCAACCAATGATTCATAAAATGCAAAATTTCTCGGTAGATGATAACAATGCTGCAATAGCAATAAAGACTCGTGCACATACCCGCTCTTCTTGATTACTATACATAATCCACTGTATAACCAATACCGCAAATTATAATAAACTAACCTGTTTATGTACGGACTTGTTCGTACGTAATAAAATGCTTAATGATCCAGAATTTAGGTATTTGAGTAACATGCCTCCGCATAGTGTACTAATCTTTTTAAATGTTAAACAAACTCATGGAAATATTCGTTCTGATTAGTTTAATGATAAACAATAATAAATATTGACATGGGGCTCTGTTACTTTAGCATAGCATAAGGGCGAATTATTTCTTTCTTTAAATGCAGTTAGTCAAACCATAATAATGTAGTACAAACTTTACGTACCTAAATACAATTTTTAGGGAACAAGCTTGATTTGAAGAATAATATGAAAAATTTTGTTTAAGGGTCTAATACATATTTGAGCCTGAGTTTAATGTTGCATTTAAGAGATATTGCATTAGGGGGTATATTTACCTAACGACAAATAGAGACGCAAGATTTCCCAAAAGATATTGACAATGCTGCAATAATAATAAGAGCTCGTACACATGTCATTCCCTTGATTGCTATACATCGTCCTGTGGAGGTTCTACAAACCACACTTAAGATTATATAATAAATTAACTTGCTTGTGAATGTTCGTGATCTGGAATTTATTCGAGTAAATACAGTAAATCAACATTTTCCTGTCTCCCTGAATATATACAGTACTAATGTTTATTTTTTTTTAAGCACAGTTGTGTTGCTGGCCACAGAAGTTATTCGGTTGACTAAGAGAACAAAGCCCAATGCCAAGAAATAATAAATTCTTAATATGGAATTTCTTTAATTCACATTGAAGAATCATCCACACTCCCACTTCTTGATTACTACATAGTGAAAGTTCTACAATCAAAAAGTATATTACGCATAGATCTCATCACATAACCTAAGTGAACATTAAAAAAATATATAAAGACTCCTATAATTTTTTTCTTAACACCATCGCTAAATCATGTCGAATCTTAAGAAATATATTATCTTTTACATTGTCCTCGTTTTAACAACTTGTTCTGTACTCGCAGTTCCTAAAAATGTTAATAAAAGATATGATAGCGATGATGAAACATGTACAAATTTTTGCAAAAATTCCCCATTGCCACCAGCGAATTTTTCATCAGAACAACTCACAGGATATTGTTCTAATACGATTCTTGGAGAAGTTCCATCAACAGACAATCTTCCTTCTGTTTTAATCACAAAACCAGATTATAATGAAGTTATTTCTCTTAATAAAAGTATCAATTTTGAATTTAAATTCGTAAATTTTGAACCTGGAGCAGCTTCAAATATCAGCACAGAATTTGAAAAATTTCCACAAGCAATTAATAAAAATGGGAGTGTTATTGGTCATTATCACCTTACTATACAAAAAATACCATCACTAGATAATGTACCTGATCCAAAAACCTTTGCATTTTTTACTCCGATAAATTTCTTACCAAACGCAACTGGAACTTATCAAATTCCTGTCCCTGGATTAACTGAAGAAGGAATCTATAGAGCCTGTACATATACAACAGCAAAAGCTCACCAATGTGTTAATGTACCAACTGGTGATAGAGGGCCAATTGATGATTGCATTCGTTTTAAAGTTGAAAAGTGTTGAAAATGATAACAATAGGTATAAGGATAACTTGATAATAATGGATGATGAAATGAAAAAAGAAATAATAGGGTAATTTTCGTATTTAAAAAAAAAAACAAGATAGAAATGCTTACTAAAGAAATTTATATTTTAATAATAATTTATAGTTAATAATAACTTATTTACCTGTAGCTTGCTTCATTAAGTTTAATTTCATAGAATTTAATTTTAATGACATTACAATATTAGAAATTAAATAATTTGAGGTTAAAGTGATTTAGTCCATAAGAACTTACGAGTTTTCATTTGTATCATTCATGTCTGAGGAAGTAATAAATAAAAATTATATTTTGATAGTGTCCATCCGCTTTGCCATGTGGTTCATATATGCTGTTTGTATGATATTTACATTAGGGTTTTGCAAACTCTAGGCACGAATTATTAAAAATGGTGCCTAACACATGCCTGGCATTTGCAGAGGCCTAACTTACATTGTTATTTTTTGCCAATTCGGTCAAGGACTTATGATGCGTTTTTTTCGACTTATTAATTTTGTATATATAGTACTTATGTGATTAAAGTTCACATTTGATTGAAGTCGCTGCTTTAGCAATCTAAACCGTTTCTAATGAGAATAGAATAAGATCTAATTTCAGTGATTAACTTTAATTTGTCAGATGCAGCTTTAGCTGCGCAAATGAAGTAAATTATTATTTTAAATTATTTATCCTTATATATTCACGCATTTTTGCGGGAACAATGAACTTAGTGGTCATCACATGTGAAATCATAAAATGACATTTGTTTACTACATAGTACGTACAGTATTAACAAATTGGCCTAAATTATACATTAACCCTAACTTACAGTATGTTAAAAAAGTCTTTGGACAAATTCACGTGACAATCACGTTTATGCGACCATCCATTTTAAATTAGATCTCGGTTACTACGATGGTTCTAGATATTTCTTGATAGTCTGAGATCTTTTTCTTATTGTTGCTGGGCGGCCTTATTAATTTCAATTTTTCACAATAAGTATAGCAAGAAATGGCACCCCTCCAAAATATATCCCCAAAGTCATATTATATTTGTAGAACAATGGTATACATACCGCCAAGAAAATAAAGCAGAAAACTGGCCTCCCCAGGTTCACAATATACTATACACTTTCAAAAATCAGAAAGTATGAAGACATAGCCCATCACAAACGAAGTGGCCATCCTAAAAAAACTACTCCTGCACTTTTTAAAGCTTTAGGTCAGTATATTAGAAAGGATCCTACAATAGCTTTAAGAACTCTGGCTGCAAAACTATTAGACAAAGGTTTTAAAGTAACTCATATAACAGTTTGTAACCATTTAAATCATCTTGGGTACAAAAAAAATCAAGCACAAGCAACTTCAATATTAACAAAGGAACATATTAAAGCTTATATTGTTTTGGCAGAGAAACATCTCAATGATAATTGGAAAACTACTGTTTTTTCTGATGAAACTTGTTTTATATTGTTTAGGAATACTATCTAGTATTGGCACAAGGAAAAATGCCTGGTTAGAAGAATTCCAAAAAAAGGACAAAAAATTTGCATCTAGGGTGCTTTTTGGGTAGGAAGTAAGACCAACCTTTTTTGTTTTTGTCAAAATATAAATGACCACTTTTATACAAAAATCTTGAAAAATCATGTTTTTAAAATTAAAAAAATGCATGGTAATTGTTGGAGATTCCAACAAGACAATGATCTCAAGCACCATAGCCAAGTAGCCAAAGAATTTATTAAAAAATATTCTTTTAATAATTAATAATTGGCTCTTTAGTAGCCCTAATTTAAATCCTATAGAAAACCTGTGGGAAATTATTAAAATTAATATTGAGATACATCACCCCAAGAATTTGGATGAATTGGAGCAGTTCGCAATGGAGAAATGTAATAAAATCTCAATTAATACTTTAAAAAATTTATTACATTCAATGTATAAGTAATATAGGCTTATACTTGCTATAAATAGAGATTGTATCTCTTTTTAAATTTTTTTATAAATAAAATTTTTAGTTTTTTGACCATATTTTGGTTTAATTTTTGTTTGATTTTGTGTAGTATACCTTATATAATTTTCATATAAAGTTGTCTAAAGACTTTTTTAACATACTGTAGGCTAGTGTTCCTAGGTTCAGTTCAGTTCATTTCAGGTTCAATGAACCTTGAACTGAACCTAAACATAAACCACAAAATTTGCAGATCATTGAACCTAAACCTGAACTGAACTTTGAATTTATAAACCCGAACTGAACCTGAATTTAAAGTTTTAGTTCATTCAGGTTCAGTTCAAAGTTCATGAACATGTTCAAAGTTCATGAACATATTTAGGTTTAGTACCATAGACCACTGTATACAGTACCCAGGGTCTTATTCAAAACCTCTGTTTTTAAATTGAATAGTACTCGTGGGTACTGTGTGAAGAACTGAGTACTATTTGAGGGGGGATATACTATATCAGGAGTATTGTATGTGGGGGTTTTATGTAAAGATAATTGTATCAGGTTGCACAAATATTATAACAGATAAAAATGTACGTATGTACTGTACATATCTAAAAAACAAGCCAAACCCAAATACTATAATGTAAAGACAGATGCTATGCTGACTCCTTGGATCGTTGAAATAATAAGCTTGTTCTTAAAGAAGGAAATACATTAGCAAAGCCTTTAGCAAAAAATGTACTTAGACCTCTCTATATTTTAAATAAATACTGTATGATCAACTCAATTGAAAGGGAAAAAGCAGTAGCAAAATTTTTGTAAAAATGCTATGATATTTTTATATTTTTAATGAATAGTTTAAGACTTTATAATACTACAATCTATCTGTTTTTTTAAGTAAACGTCTATATTTTAAGCAGTAGTAATACTTTATATAATGCTACTCTAACCTATCTTGATCTTATAATCAACTTAAGTAAAAAAAAAAAAAAAAAAAAAAAAAAAAAAAGCAAGATCAAAAAGCATAAGTAGGAACTTTATTAGAATACCGCTTTAATTTACCTTTATTTTTCTAATAACCAATTTGGTTCTAGTAAAGGAAAAAAGACTTCTAAATTTGTTTAATGTATTAATGATGAAAAATATTTATAGATTTAAATAAATTAGGTCAGTGAAATAACAAGAAGTAGAATCATCTAGTATTTGTATTTTCTATGATATTCTTCTAGAATTCATAGAATTAGTGTTACAATTAAGACTAAATTTGTGTTGCTAGTTGCACCTTGTGACTATATAAAAAAATGCGAAATGTTTTCAGATCAACTTTGTACCTATAGACCTTATAATTTTATCAGTTTAAAAAAAAAAAAAAAAAAAAAAAAAAAAAAAAATTGCCAAAAGAAAACTTTAAAGCATGACAAGCAAAAGTTTCACAAAAAAATACTGACAGTGAAATGGCTGTGAGAAGTTGATGGTCATACTTTACCAGGAAAATGGACATAGTATTTGGGCAATAGCAAGTAAATATGAAATCAAACCAAAACAAGTTCATGACTGGAAAAAAAAAAAATATAACTTGATGCATACAGCATCTTATATTCAATGACTTAATGTTGGGGTATGACCCAAGTATCCACAGCTTAAGAATGAACTTTTGGAGTAGTTCCGTAAATTAAGAAGGCAGCTGAAAACAGTGACCAGATGCATGATCAGTGCAAAAGCTTGTAATATTGCTACTAAACAAGAATACAATATCTTGTATCCTGATATTCATAAATATAAATTTTCTCATAAGTGGGTGGATGGTTTTATATCTTGCCATTTGTTAGTTAACTGCAAACACACTACAATTGCCTAGCAATTGCCTGAAGAATATGTTGAAGAACAACAAAATTTTTTATTGTATGTTTTGTATTTGTGAACTGAACATGGTTACTCTTTAAACTTAATTAGAAACATGGATGAAACTTCAATAGCATTTAATATACCAAGTCAAACAACTGTTGCAGAATGTGGAACACGAACCATTTCGATCCTTACAACAGGCTATGAATATACCTGTTTTATAGTAACTCTTGCTTGTCTTGTGGATAGTACTAAACTTCCACTACTTATTATTTTTAAATAAGTAAATGTGCTCTGAGAGCAGTTTCTAGATAGTGTGTATGTTCATGCAAATCCAAGTATTAGATAAATGAGAATGAAATGATTTGGTAGATAGAGAATGTGTAGTATCAGAAAGTTAATTTGGGCTCGAATCCACGTTCACTTCTTGTTCTTGATTCGTTTTCTGCTCATACAATGGACTCTGTAAAGCATCATTTTAAGGAAAGAAATACAGATATTTCTGTTATTCCTAGTGCCATTGGATGTGTCTTTAAACAAAGCATTTAAAGCAAAGGTTAGTTGTGAATTAAGTTATATAGCTTAGCACAGGTGTGTTACGACTAGTGGTGAGCATAAATATATGATATCATGCTTTTTTTTCATCACTAGTCATGACAAACTCCATTTGATTAACTAATCAAATTCAAGATTAGGTATAAAAAAAAAATTTTTTTTTATTGCTTATAATTGTGCTTTCATTCTGATAAAAAAATTTTTTTTTTTTGGTTAGTTTCATCACTCTATTCTTATTTTCAGTTCTAAATTAATATGTCATCAGGTTTGGTTAAATTTTATGTTAACCACATAATTATAATAGTATCATAAGATTAAAAAACTACTTATTTTATTAATAGGTCTGCCATGCTTACAACAAGTGGATGGATAAAGCTATTAAGGAATATATGCCATTGGGTAAAATTAAATGTCTATCGTACTCAGTAGTAACAAAATGGATTAAGGAAGCTTGGGATGATATTGATCCTACTATGGTGTGATGATCTTTTAAATGTTGTAGAATTTCCACTGAAATAGATGGTTCTGAAGATAGTTCAATTTTTGATTTTTGGAAAGTCTCAGGTGAAAAAGAAAGAATTGGTATTAAAGAAGAAAAAAAATTAAGTCCAAAAAGTGTAGAAGACATAGAAGATAAAGAAAATGATCATGAATGCGAGTATTGTGAACACTATGAAGGTGAAGAGAGAAATTACATCAATGTCTGGAATTAATTACTGGTAACTACAAAATATAGATCAAAAAGTGGTTATCTAGCA